AAGAATGTCCACACCTTTATCTCAGCAGTTCTTCCAGTCGTCTGTGGCCGCTCCGATCCTTCCCCCATGTGGTCTCACCCAAGATGGCTCCTGGAGCAGCTGAGCGTCCCGGACTAGAAAGCAGTAGATTTCTTGCTTCTGCCACAAATTCCCCCAGCTGTGAGCCTTCCAACCTTCTAAGTATTCCTTTATATGTGGTTCAGATTTCTGGGACCATCCCCTGAGACTGCTTGGTCGGGTATTCTGTGTTGTTGTTGGAGCTCTGTACTACATGTCCACCCGATCCGCCATCTTGTTTGTTCTTCCCTCAGTACTATCTTATGGCACTATAGGATAAGCCCTGGTTCAAATCCACTAGCCACTCCTTGGAAACCCTATTATACAGGGTCACTTTGGGTGAGAACTGACTCAGTGGCACTTTAACAACAATAACATCTTAGTGGCTGTGAAGTGTTGCTGTGGTTTTCATTTGCATTTCTTAATCATTAATGATAATTGAACATCTTTTTGTGATTTGACCATTTATATTTATTTGGTGACATTTCTATTCAAGTCCCTTGTCTAATTTTTTATTGGATTTTCTTCTTAAGTTGTTTGACTTCTTATATATTGTGGATATTAAATCTTTATCAGGTACATGGATCCCCCCAGAACTCACCCATTCTGTCAAATATCTCTTCACTTTGTTAATAAAGTCCTTTGATGAGCAAAAGTTAATTTTGGTGGCATCCATTTATCTATTTTGCCTTTTGTTACTCATGCTTTCCGTGTCATATTGAAGAATACATTGTTAAAAACTAGGTCTTGAAGCACTGTGTTGTTGTTGTTGTGAAGTGCTGACGAGTCGGTTCTGACCCATAGCGACCCTGTATAGGGTTTCCAAGGAGCACTATTCTGATTTTTTTCCTGTAAACATTTAATGGCTTTAGTTTTTACACTTAGGTCTTTAATCTATTTTTGGGGTGTTCATATATAGGGTGAGGTTGGAGCTGCAAGCTCATTCTTTTGCTTGTGAAATCTGTTGTCCTCGCACCATTTATTAAAGAGATTGTTCTTTCTCTCATTGGGTGAATTTGTACCCTTGTCAAAAATGGATTGATCAGAGAAGTATGAGTGTATTTCTGAACTCTAAATTCTATTCCATTGGGTTTCTATACATCATTAATGAACATTCTGAAAAGAAAATTAAGGAAACAGTTCCATTTTATAAGGCATCTAAAAGAATAAAATGTTGTTAGTGCCATTGAGTCAGTTCTAACTCATTGCGGCCCTGTGGTGGGTTTTCAAGGATGTACATCTTTTGGGAAGCAGAAAGCCTCATCTTTCTCCCACAGAGACACTGATGTGCTCAAACTGCTGATGTTGTGGTTTGCAGACTAGTACTTAACTGTGGTGCCGTAGGGTCAGCACTGAACTGCAAACCACAAGCTCAGCAGGTCAAACCTACCAGCTGCTTCTCGGAAACCATATACAGGGTCACTATGATCCGGAACCTACTTGGCGGCACCCAACAACAATTTATCATACAGAGCCATCATGCTCCCCCCAAAATAAAATACCTACAGATAAATTTAAATTTAGCCAAGGAAGTGAGACTTGCACCATGTAAGGGTCTTGAGGCACCCCATGAAGCCCACAAACCACACTTTGAGAACTGTTATTCTAAAAGGTCTATAGTACATTTGTTAACCAGTCCATCAATAAATAGATATAAAAGTGTCATTGTTCCTATAATATTGACTGATTAAATGAATTGATTTGTGGGAAAGTGCTTTATAAGCTAAAAAGCAGTAGATAAATGTAAACTGATATTATTATAGCTAGTAATAAGTAGGCGTGAGTTGCAAAAAGAATTACTAGTGTTAGCTTGTTGTTGTTAAGTGCTGTCCAGTTGATTCCGACCCATAGCGACCCTGTATAAGGTTTCCAAGGAGCTGCTGGTGAGCTTGAACCACTGACCTTGCAGTTAAAATGACTTTGCAGTCTGACACATTAGCCCACAGCAGCACACCGGGACATACCACAAAAAGGCAGTCATTAGTACAGGTAATCTAAAAGGACAGCTAGCTGTTACAATATATGGAAGATGTCACTTAAACATTGCATTCTTTTCTTTATGTCTTTATCTCTGACAGTAAGTAAAACAGTATTGCTACAAAATCATAGAAACCTTTATTAAACAAAAATGTCAAACTGAAGCTATCGTTTCTCAACATACCCTCCATCTAGGCCTATGAATTTCTAAAGATGATATTTCCATCTCTCTAACCCAATTCTTTGATTTACACCATGTCCAAACTACAGTTTTTTTTACATCCTTTTGACATTCAAATAGGATTGCTTTTAAGTGTTCTTTAAGTTTGGGGAACAAAAAGAAGTCTGAGGGCAAGATCAGTGCTGTAGGATGAATGGGGTAAGATTTCCCAATGAAATTCTCATTGGGCTGCTCTTGCTATCCTTGAAGAATGAGCAGGTTTATTGTGGTGAAGGAAGAAAATTCCACTGCACATCTCCTAGCCATTTTCTCACCAATGCAGTTTTCTATTTTCTTAAAACTTTTTCCTAATAAGCCACTGTGATCATCATCTGTCTTTGGGGAAAATCTATCAAGATTGTTGTTAAGTGTCGTCGAGTGGGTTCCTACCCATAGCAACCCTATCTATATAGGGTTTCCTTGGATTGGCTGGTGAGCTTGAACCGCTGTCCTTGTGGTTCAAACGAGTTTACAGTCTACCACATTAACTTAACCCATGATGCCACACCAGGACTCCCTTTGGAATTCAAAAAATACATAATCTTCTAAGCTGACCTCTATGCCTTGAATTTAACAGGTCTAGCAGATCCCCTTGGAAGCCACTGTTTTGATTGTAATTTTTTGTTTTAAGGCACCCTAATGTGAGTCCGTACCGACTCGATGGCACCTAACAACAACAACAACAACAATGAGATGTGGCACTGTAGGTTAGGCACTGTATTGCTAACCACAAGATTGGCAGTTCAAACCTACGAGCCACTCCTTGGAAACCTTATACAGGGCCACTCTGAGTTGGAACTGACTCTACAGCACTTAACAACAACAACGAGACTAAGAGTCCTGGTACTGTGCCATGGGATAAGTATGGGACTGCAAGGTCAGCGGTTCAAAACCAACCACCAACCTTTCCTTCAAAACGCTATACAGGATCAGTATGAGTCAAAGACAACACTTAACAAAGGCAACAAGCATAAGACAAGTGTATTACTGAGAACTTATCTCGGCCATCCACTGATCGTAGAAACATCTTTATACACATTTTGTTTGGAATAAACCCAAGCGTGTATGAACTGTAACCCTAGTAGCAATACTTTTTGACTTAAACTTTGTACTTCTTATATGCTTCATATCTTATAATGTGTTTTTCAATACCGTTTACTTCTCAACTCTGTAGAGATAGTAGTAGTAGTTGTGCTATATAAACTGTATTACTTCTGACTTACTCATTTTTGTGTAATATTTATCATTTTCACATTGAAGAATGCAATCTTATTTCCAAATAAATACAGGCATAATTATAAATGTAGCTTAAAGCCAGCGGTGTAAGATTTTCTTGAAGGTATGTGTTAAGTTATTTCTTCAGGGAGTAAGTTATTTTATTAGCTTTCTTCTTTAAATTCTTTCCTCTTTTCCTAATAATTTAAAAGTTTGAATTTACTCCTTTGAATCTAAGAAAATGGTATCCATAACTATCCTTTCTTTCTTTCTGAACAGAAATGTCTGAACAACCCAAAAGTACAAGTTTTCTCCAGATGAAGTGGTATCTACTTTTCCTGATAGCTGCGGCTTTGGGCATTGTGATTTGTTTCATTCCTACTCCTGACATAGAAAGCACTGCTGCTGTTCAAGAGTTCCAGAACCAGATGAAACAACTCATGAATAAATACCAAGGTCAAGATGAGAAGCTGTGGAAAAGGAGCCTCACATTCCTGGAAAAACACCTTAATAGCTCCCATCCTCGACCTCAGCCTGCTATCTTGTTGCTCACTGCTGCCCGAGATGCTGAAGAAGCACTTAAGTGTCTGAGTGAACAAATTGCTGATGCCTATTCTTCCTTCCGTAGCGTCCGTGCCATCCGGATTGATGGGACAGGCAAAGCTGCTCAAGACAGTGATACCGTCAAGGAGGAGGTAGACCAAGAACTGAGCAATGGATTCAGAAATGGCCAGAATGCGGCAGTGGTGCACCGCTTTGAGTCACTGCCTGCCGGCTCTACCCTGATCTTCTACAAGTATTGTGACCACGAGAATGCAGCCTTCAAAGATGTAGCCTTAGTCCTGACTGTCTTGTTGGAGGAGGAGACACTTGGAACCAGCCTAGGCCTAAAGGAAGTTGAAGAAAAAGTGAGAGATTTCCTTAAAGTCAAGTTCACCAGTTCTGACACACTGAACTCCTACAATAATATGGACCCAGACAAATTGAGTGGGCTCTGGAGCCGGATTTCTCATTTAGTCCTGCCTGTACAACCGGAGATTGCCTTGAAAAGGGGCATCTGTTTATAAGGGGTGGTGAAAGAAAAAATTCACATCTCAAGTTCTGAGAATGTTTCAGACTTTCTAAGCAGAGACAGGATTCAGGGCTCTCTTGGAAAGAACAAGTTTCTCTTTAAAGGGAGTTACATTCTTATGTAAACATGAAACTTCTAAATCATTATTGAGCCTAATTATCTGTTACTTGAGCTAATTGAGAACTCTGTTTAAGGGTATTCTACCACAGAGGCTCTGCTTAAAATTCTGGACTCAATCATTATTGATAGGGCATGACCTGTGGAAGGGATTAAACTTTCCTATGAATCCTCCAAATTCTTTAACTAGGATTTTTCATAAAGTTTGTTGAGTTAATTAATAAGGCAGCTTCCTAAATGTAACTATGAGTTTTCCTGTCTCTGTTATCTCGATAAATTATGTCTGGACTTGTTTTTGTACATGTCCTTTTTTGTTGTTTTTCCTTTAAGAAATTCTTGGTCTTCCCACGGATTTTTGAAGGATGTATATCATGAGGTTTAGTATAGTTACTCATTTGACTCAGAAGAGTGGGAAAATGCAGTTTATTTGGACATATCCTGAAGCTTTTGAATAAGGAAAGATAATTTCAAGAATTGGTAATCCATTTGTTAACCAATTTTCCTGGGCAGTTGAATAAGGATTTAATTTCCTATGTGTTAACTTGTTGGAGTGTAAATCCTTTAATGATGCTTTGTAGCAAATAGAAAGATTTACTATGCGTGTGATAAATTTCATTAACACAGTGCCTCAAGACAAAAAGAAAGTGAACTTTACCACATAGGAAGAATATTAAAATATTTCTGTAGTATTATATTTCAGTTGTAACTTTGCATCTATAACAACTTTATCTTCAACTCTTTTGGCTTTCTTAGAATCTTATTCTAGATACCTCTCTCTTTTTTTTTCCCCCATAAATCTTTAAATGAAAATTTTGTCATTAGAGTATTGAGCCGGTCATTGCCTTCATTGTTTACCTCTTAAGGGGTCACACCACCTGTAAATAGATAGTGGTCCAGTTTCTTTCCACTAGAACTACCAATATTCATTCATTTTTACCCTTTCTTATAATTTGTTCCTATTAAAAGTCAGATCATCTGATTTATTGTAAAGAGGATTCTGAAATAGGAGTTTTAAAAAAGCTTAATTTTATACAAACATATTATATGGAGAAACAAAAGTTTTATTCAATGTTTCACTGACCAAAATAATTTTAAAGTAACATTAATTATATCTTTCAAGAAAAATAAATTTAGTCACTGGTATCTGTAAATGACTTTTAAAAGCTATTTTAGTAATTTAAATAAATTTGCTTTTTTGTTTGTTTGTTTGTACTCTCTGTATGTGTTGCAAATTTAATGATTCGTAAATCTGTTGCTTTTTAATTCATCCAAGAATTTTATTGACAGTTTTCGTGACTTCTAGGAATAACAAAGGCCAGATAATTGAAGCCATTTAAAAATGCATTAGCTCAAAATAGAATAACCATGATTTTTTCTATTTCATCCAGGATTTTGAATTATTACTAAAATGGTATTTGTTTGGCTATTCCTATGTGGACTTGATGGCCAAAGAATCTCTAAAGCAGTATTTCTCAAATTTTATTTCATTATCAGCTCCTAAAGAGATTTTTATATATTTTTCCCAAAATAGCTCCCCATGAAATTTCAGTTCCATGCATATATTATATACTGGTTTAGATGCTCTGCCTTTGCACTCTCATTCATTCTCTCCGCAAAGAGCTGAGAATCTGTGCACCCCCTGCCAAGAATCAATGTTTGCCCCCATTGAGAATGCATACTCAAAAGCATCTGTGTTTTAGATAGTTTCTGTGGAAAGCATCACTCTGTTTTCTATTTATGATACTGTAATCCTTGCAGAAGAGTAAATTTAGTAAGTAGCCAGCTTGAAAATAGAAACTAAAATATTGGCATATTGTTACTTTGGGTAACAACACTAACCCAGAAAAATTCATAGTACAGTATTGAATTTACAGTTTTTTTACAAAAACTGTAGTTAAATTGTTACAAATCGTAATTTGCTTCCCTTCTTTTAATGGCTTTCTTATCTTTAAATTCTCTAAACTTCAAAGTCTCAAAGTTTGGAAGTAAACTTAATCTTCATTCTATGAAGAGAACTGTGCAGATGAAAGAACTTGCATAGTTCATGCCTTTTATTTGAATGCCTGAAGTTATAAAGGGAACTGGTCATGGAGCTTCAGAAAGTAGCCTTTATGATATCAATGTATGTAAACAGTTCTGCTGAATGTATAAAGAATGTATAAAGACTATTCTGCTATATTATCATTATTAGAGAAAAATCTTATAGGATCTTTCTGCAAGCAAAACAATTGGCATTAGCCAACTCAGATGAATATATGGGTCCTGAGCCCAGAATACCAAACCTGGAAAAGCCATCATTGAGTGGAAGAAGAGAAAACTCCTGTCTTGATACCTTCCTTGGATTCAGAGATGCTCTCCTGTGCTTGAGGGTTCTACTGGACAGCAGGGAAATTACAGACCATCACCTGAGCATCAACAGGAAGGCAATCCCTCATACTCTATACTTAAGACATAATTAACTTTAAAACACATTGTAGTCTAGTATTTTGACGTTTTTAAACATTCTGAAAGACTTTGTTACTTTGCCTTTCCCTTTGCCCTGATCTCATGTTCCATTAACTTAATTTTGTTAAGTGCCATGTCAGCGAGTCAGTTCTAACTCACAGTGACCCTGTATAGAACTGAGAAGCAGCTGGTGGGTTTGAATTGTCAACCTTGTAGTTGTTGTTAACCTTGCAGTTGTTAAGTGCCGTGGTGTCGGTTCCGACTCACAGCAACCCTGCACAGGGTTTCGGAGGCTGTAAATCTTTACCGGAGTAGAAAGCCTCATCTTTCCCACGGAACCGCTAGTAGTTTTGAACTGCTGACCTTGCGGTTCACAGCCCGATTCGTAACCACTATGCTACCAGAGCTCCTTCAGTAGTAGTTCAATAATTATTCTACGATGCCACATGAGGACTCCAACTCTTACTAAGGCCATAGTTTTTTAGGTAGAATTTCATTGAAATCTTTCCCTAGTCCCTTCCCCCAAATACTGGTTTAGATGCTCCACCTTTGTTCTCTCATTCATTCTGTTATCCCTGTCACAGCAGTTAACATACTGTATTACCATAAGCTTGAGACCAGGGGAGTATTTTCTTCAAGTATGCATGGTACAATAGTTAAACAACTGACTTCTAACTGAAAAGTTAGTGGTTCAAAAGGACCCATGGTCCTGCAGAAGAAAAGACCTGATGATCTGCTGTTAAAAAGATTGGCAACCTAGGAAACCCCATGGAGCAGTTTTACTGTTACAAGGTCACTCACTGAATCTGAGTGTATTCTAACAGCATGAATGGATCGGAACCAACTCGAAGGCACTTAACAACAACAATAGGGTTTCCAAGGAGCTGCTGGTGAGCTTGAACCGTCAATCTTGCAGTTCAAATGGCTTTGCAGTCTGGTGCATTAACACAGCGCCATATATTATGGAGTCCTGGTGTGTTTCTGTAGCATAAGCACTGGACTGCTAACTGCAAGAAGTTCAGCAGTGCAAACCCACCAGCCTCTCCTCAGAAACCCTGTGGTGGTGGTGGTGGTGGTGGTGGTATGTGTGGAGTCGGTTCTGACTCATAGCAACCCTGCATAGGGTTTCTGAGACTGTAAATCTTTACTAGAGCAGAAAGCCTTATCTTTCTACTGCGGTACAAGTGGTAGTTTTGAACTGCTGACTTTGAGGTTAGCAGCCAGACTGGTAACCGGAACACTACCAGAGCTCCTTCAGAAACCCTATTACAGAGAACAAACAAGATGGCAGATCTGGTGGAAGTGCAGTAAAGGAGCTCCTCGAGCAACAACACAGAATACCTGACCAAGCAGGCTCAGCGGATGGTCCCAGAACTCTGAACCACATATAAAGGAATATTTCGAAGGTTGGAAGGCTTATAGCTGGGGGAATTTGTGGCAGAAGCAAGAAATCTATTGCTTTCTAGTCCGGGACGCTCAGCTGCTCAAGGCGCTGCCATCTTGGGTGAGACCAAGCAGGGGAAGGATCAGAGCAGCCACAGACATCTGGCAGAACCACGGAGATGAAGGTGTGGACATTCTTTTCTTTTGGTATCTGTTCATTGGTCCCTTGCTGTCTGCGCACCTCCATTCTGGTGACTATAGGGGTG